TTTACCTTTGATTGGAGTCTAAGTCCAGAAAAATTATGATCTATGCCATGCTCATCACAAAATTCAGCAAACTTAGCATTTTCAAATTCAGTTCCATGATCAGACCCAATGATACAAGTTGATTACCTATTATTTTCTGAGTGTTTCTACAAAGAAGTAAGCATGTCAAATGCTTCATCCTTAGAAGTTAAAAACAATGTCCAAGTAAACCTAGAGTAATCATCCACAAGCACCAACACATATTTTTGACCACCTCTGCTTAATGTTCTCACTGGACCATAGAAATCAATATGAATCAGTTCCATCGACCTGGTCGTGCTTACCACTTTCTTGCATTTAAAAGAGGATTTTACTTGCTTCCCCCTAGCACAAGCCTCACAAACTTTGTCTTCCTTGAACTTGATGTTAGCAGCCCTATCACCAGGTTCTTGAGACTATTTGTTGAGTTGACTTAGACTCGCATGTCCAAGTTTTTTGTGCCAAAGGAGTGGATCATTGTCCAACACACTTAAGCAAGTGAGTCATTTTTTTGAAAGAGGTGGACAGATATACAATGTATATATTGTTACTCTTTTCCCTGCAAAACAATCTTGTCAGTGGTAAGATTTATCACAAAACATCTGGAAGAAGTGAATGCTACCAGGTTACCTCTGTCACATAGTTGTGATAGCATCTGGATTAAGGCTTATTTCAAGCCATCTATCAGGTAGACATTCTCAATGGAGTGTGAGTCTGTCTTACCTACCTTTCCAACCCCAATGATCTCACCTTTCTTACCATATTCAAAGGAGACATTACCTCCTTTTAAGTTCTCAAGTGAAAGGAACTGGTTCTTGCTTCCAGCCATATGCTTTGAGCAGCCACTTTCCATGTACCATATTTGGCTGCTCCCCTTCACTTGGACCTGCAAAAAGAAATCAGGGTTAGTCTTAGGAACCCAAACTAGTTTGGGTCCCTTTCTATAGGCAAAGGAATGAATTAAATTCTTTTTAGCCCATCCTGGCAGCCTATTTTTCCCTTGAACAAAGGTTTTGTTCTTTTGACTGGCCTTTTCTTTTGCAGTGCACTCACTTTTGTAGTGACCAATCTTACCACAATGTGTGCAGATTTTGTTCTCAGGAAGTGTGACGTACTTGATTTTGGGATCCCACTTAGGTGCAGGGGTCCCATATCCAAGTCCTCTTTTATTGCTACTGTGGTGTTCTTGTAGCCATGATAGTGCATCAGAGGACTTATTCCATTTACAAGTTCCGTCTAGTTCATGTTTAACCTTGCTTAGATCTTCTTTTAGGACTCTTATCTGCTCATCCTTTTTGTACAACTCATCCTTCATTTTTCCTAGATTTTCTTCTAAGGTGAGATGTGTGTGATCAACTTTCTTTTTACCTGTTCCTAATTTCAGTTTTAAATTTTCAGATCTAAGCTCTAGCACAGTGGTGTCAAGTTCAAGAATCCGGTTCTTCAACTCAGCATTTTTATTATAACTTTCACTAGCCCTAAGTTCCAGATTTTTGCACTAAGCTTTCAGGATTACACATTCCCTAGACAACTATTCCTTCTCATTGTTTATGACCTCAGATTCATCAATAAAATCTAGCAGTAACTCAGATAGATTTTCTTTGGACAAAAATTTAATCTTGTCTTTGAGATGAATCACACTTACCTCTGATTCCTCATAAGATTCACCAATGGCCATCAGTGCTTGTTCATCTCCATCTTCAGTTTCTGAATCCTCATCTGAGCTCCCTCCCCAAGCAGCAACCATAGCCTTTGTTGATCCTTTGTTCTTCTTGGGATGAACCTGTTCCTTCTTCCTGTTTCTTCGTTCAGCCCTTTCTCTCTTCCATTCAATTTCCCACTGAGGACAATTTTTGATCATGTGGTCAGTCTTACCACATTTGTAGCAGCCCCCGTTGGTCTGTTTTTCAGGAGCCCTTGGTTTGTTGAAGGTTGCACCTCTTGAAGAACCCTTTCCTCTCATTAGATACTTCTTGAAATCTCTCGTGATCATAACCATTTCATCTTCCTCTAGATCTGCACCTTCAGCTATTCTGAGGGCCAAGCTCCTTTCCTTCTTCGATGCATCCATCTTCATGGTTTGCCTTCTAAGTTCATAGGCAGTGAGATTTCCAATTAGCTCATCCAACTTGAGAGTGGAAATGTTCTTTGATTCCTGAATAGCAGTGATTTTGCTTTCCCAAGTAACTTGCAAAACCCTTGTCAAAATTTCTCAACCTTATCTTCTTCAAGGATAATCCTTCTAAGAGAATTTAGTTCACTTGTTAGTGTTGTGAACCTTGTATACATCTCTTGGATGGTTTCCCCTTCCTTTAAGGTGAAATTCTCATATTGAGAATACATCAATGTTCCTCTTGATCTTTTTACTTGAGGAGTTCCTTCATGATCCACTTGCAAAGTGTCCCAAATTTCCTTAGTAGTAGTGCATCTTTGAATTCTGCTGTACTCATCTGGACCAAGTTCACACACAAGCCATTTCTTGGCCTTAGAATTCTTTTCCCACTTCTTCAAGTCCTCAGCAATATAGTCAGTTCTAGTCTTTGGCACATCCATTCCTTCAGCATTCTTCTTCGTGGTGGCTAGGGGACCATCAGTAACAATGTCCCAGAGTTCATAGTCCTCTCCGATGATGTGATCTCTCATCCCGTTTTTCCACCAGGAATAGTACTGGCCATTAAAGAGTGGAGGCCTAGCAGTGGATTGTCCTTCCCAGTTTCCAGGTGGTGCACTCATCTTGATCTGTTCCTAAGGTGTTAGCCTCTTCAAGGATAACCTGCTCTGATATCAATTGATGTTTTATACTTCAATACCACACAAGAGGGGGGAGGGGGGGGGGGTGATTTGTGTAGTGTCCAATTTTTCACTTAAGTTGTTTATGGAAGGACCTGGTTCTTCTATATGTTCCAACTACTACTGTTGCGAAATAATAAGTACAGAAATTAAAGAACATAAAGATTTTACGTGGAAAATACTTGGCTCAAAAGGTGAAAAAACCACGACCTACTTTCCAGCAGGATTTTCCCAAACTCTCCACTAAAATCACTGAGCCAAAAGCTGCATTTACAAAAACTCTTTTGTAAACCTAGGAATAACTCTAATCCCGTTGTAGCACAGCGCCTCAACTGTTGCAACAACTTCAAGTTAACTCTAACTTGAAAACTCTAAGTACCTGATATAATTGCTTCTAGATAAAGCTGAAAGGTACAATATGAAAACACCTACTACAGTTGAACTAGAATAAAAGATAGACACTTGGAACTGGTTCTTCTATCTGGTTCAAATAGCTTCAGGTTTGCACGTTTGAACACACACAAATTGCTTGCAAAATTGCCTAGCTATTTTGCTCTCAGTTTACGTTTAACTTCTGCTTATGTGCGTTACCTGTAAAAGAGAACAACACTGATATTTATGGAGTTAGTAATTAGAGATTGACTAGACTTCTAATGCTACTCTTCCATGGTGGAAGAGTTCTAGTTGATCTCAACCTCTAACTCTTCCCTTTCTTAAACTATGTTCTCTTTGAATAAGCAGTCTTTCTCCTAATCTAATATGCAACCTTTTCGATCAGGATCAGGAGATATCACTTCTGGTAAGTTAGGTTTATCTCCTTCACATGCATCTCACATGCTTGAGTTGACCATATCTGTGCTTCACCAGGATGGACCTGGCCCATGTCTGAGTTCCTTTGTCAGTCTTCAAAACCCACTTTTACTTGGGCCAACAATATTGCAAAGCATGCCACACACATTTGCGGACCCAAAAAAAGTATCTATATTCTCATTGCAAATGCTCATATTAAGTCCTAGAAGGACAACATCTATGGTACGCTTAAAGCATATAGACAAATCGGTTTCAAATAAACTTCTTGATAAAGAAGATGAGCAAATTATCAAAATGATCATAATAAGGAGGCAAGTGATCTAGAAGATCACATGACATAACACTTCATAAAATCTCAGGAGAGGTTCATGTACCTGAAAATATGAATGAAGAGATCTCTATGTTATGTTTTTTTTAAAAAGTATTGGAATCGATATAAATTATTCGTCGACGACATATATCATCACGTTAAGTATATATGAGGATCTTAAGTCCGTCAAATACAGACACAAAAATATTGGCCGTATAGAAAAGACACAATTCAAATAGAATTGGTTTCATATGAAAGATATGTAGTTTTGAACATGTAGTTCAAACACTTGAAAGGATAAAGTCAATGGTGTGTGCAATCACCTTTATCTATCTTATTTGTCTAGCATGACATGAAAACTTGATATGCATCTAATTAAAGTCTATTATATGACTTAACTTATATGACAATCCTTGAAGCATTTAAGTCGCTTAAAGCATATACAATTCTTGGTCCTAAAGTACCATATCCTAAGTGCTATTTACGCACATATATATCTTGCTATAACTATAAGCATGATAATGTGATAGCGATGATTTTCAAGGTGCAACATATTCATTGGAATTAATATGGCTATTTTATTCATCAAATCTTGCCGACGTCAACCTTCAAGAAGCTAGTGCACAAGATTGGGATGCGAAGGCTCAAAGATATGAATTGATGCTCTCATCAGGGGGAGTTAATACGCTTGTACTCTTTTTCCCTTACAAGGTTTTGTCCCAATGGGTTTTCCTTGCAAGGTTTTTAATGAGGCAACCAAAAGGCGTATTTCTAAATATGTGTACTCTTTTTCCTTCTCTAGAACTTTTTTCCCGCTGGGTTTTATTTTAGTTAAGGTTTTAACGAGGCACATTGTCTGTTGAATAGACGTTCAAGTTGGAATGTTATAAATAGTATTTTATTTATGGTGAATGTCTATATTTTAGAGAGATTTTAGGGTTTGTTACAGACACCCTTTTATAGACACCCTTTTATATTTTAGAAAGATTTTAGGGTTGCAGTGTTATAAGAATTCCTATACAGACACCCTTTTATAGTTTCTTGATTTTCATCACCACTAATTAAGTAAAATATGAAGATGAGCAACAGCAATTTGGGAAGTTCAAAGAGGAAGCTAATTTCAAGCAGAGGACTCGGAGGAGTTCTTAGGCAGCAAAGAGCCAGACTTTACATAATCAAAAGATGTGTGGTCATGCTCCTTTGTTGGCATGATTGAATTAAATTAATTAAACTCCAGACAACCCTTTAAACAAAATTGGGTTATGGGGTTTGTCCATAGTCTTTTTATTCTTCTCTTTTCTCTCCACTTCTTGGAATTGTACAGAGCAGTAGTTTATATTAGGTTGTAAAAAGGATATTAGCAATTTTGTACTAAGTCATTTTTCCCTATAAATAAAGAGGTTCTATTCCATTGTAATTGCTCCCAAATCAATAAGAATTTCCTCTCCCTACTTTTCTCTGCAATACTCTTCTTCTTTTATTATTTCATAACATTCAGATTAGAATTCAATTCAAGTCCCAATATATTGAAACTAACATAAGCTGCACGATTTATTTTTATTTTTTTCGCATTTTTGATGTAATCTTTTTTTCTTTGAATCAAATGAATTGATTTGTGGGGTTAAAGTAATAGTTTCACTTTATATCACTTGAACTTTATGATTATTTGATTTATTTTCACTGAAGGAACCTTTTTCTAATGTAATTACTGATCTGCTCCATAAAAACATTCAGAAAGAAGAAGAAAAAACGAAGATCCAATATAGTGATTGTATGGGTCAAAAAGCTTATCCAGGACAAAAAAACTTCAGCGTATTTAGTGCTGAAGCTTTTACAAATGAACTAAATAACTTCAACATCTTCTGCTGAAGTTTTTGAAAAAGCTTATCCAGGACAAAAAAACTTCAGCTTATTTAGTGCTGAAATTTTTACAAATGAACTAAATAACTTCAACATCTTCTGCTGATGTTTTTGAAAAAGCTTATCCAGGACAAAAAAACTTCAGCGTATTTAGTGCTGAAGTTTTTACAAATGAACTAAATAACTTCAGCATCACAAAACTCAGCTACTAGAATGCTTAAGTTCAGCAATTACTAATAAAAACTTGAGCAAATAGAGAACAAAACTTCAGCAGTAGAATGCTTAAGTTCAGCAATTACAAACAAAAACTTTAGCACACTTGGTTCAGCAATTTTTGCTATTTCAGGCCCGTCTACTAGAATGCTAAAGTTTTGTGTGATTGCCTTTGCTACTTAAGCCCCGTATGCTGAAGTTACGCGAAAAAGTGGGTACGTTTGTAATTTTTTTTTGCAAAGCGAGCACATGTTAAAACGTGACCCAAAAAGCGGATATAGATGCAAATGCCCCCCTTCTAAAAGAGTTAATCCATGTATAACAATGTAAACCCAGTATAACTTATTACAATGTTTGGTTGGTGTTTTAATTTTCGTGTAAAATCTTGCATAACTTATATAATATTTAGTTGGTATTTTGATCTCCTCGTAAAATCTTGCACAACTAGTAATATTTGGTTAAATTTTGCTCCTCCTTATACATAATACCCGCTAAAAGTTATTTGATTTGGCCGAATCCATATTGAACAGGATTGTTCCACTCATGTTCCTACATAACTAATACCTACATAACCCCTTAATTGGTGTATTTATACCTGCAATAGACTTGCCGTCTGAATCTTGATAGTTAGCCTCAAATTTCAAATGGAAAATGGTTTGATGAACTTCGTATCAACTTTTGAAGATCCATTTGATTTTATAATACTCAAGTTTGTGAAAATACATTTAACTGTATTCCTTTAACTAATTAACTGATATTCAATACAATCCTGCTGGCACGAGCCATAAATTTACTGAAGTTTTAATTTATCACTTGAACTGGTCTTGTAAATTAGGTATCGTCTGCTCTATTTCAAGGAATATTAAAATTACGTACTCTATCTAGTGTTCGCGTAGTTTATCGGGAATATACACAATATAGTTGTCCCCGTAATAATAGTAAAAAAATATAATTTTCTGTATATTAATGTTAATAAAATGTCAATGTAACGACCCGACCGGTCGTTTTGAGCTCTAGCGCGTCGTTCAGCGGTTTGAAGCCCCGAGTAGCTTCACTTCAGGTATTATGACTTGCACGCGTGGTCGAAATTGAATTCCGGGAAGTTCGGAGTTGATTTGGAGAGAGAATTCTCATTTCGACGCCTTAAGTTGAAAGAATTGACTAAGATTGGATTTTTGAGTAAACGACCTCGGAATCGGGATTCGAAGGTTCCAGGAGGTTCGTATGATGATTTCGGACTTGGGCGTATGCCCGGACTGGGTTTTGGGATACCCGGAAACATTTCGGCGCCTATTGTGGAAGTTAGCATTTTTGGAAGAATTTCATAAGTTTGGGTTGAAGTGCATTTCAGTGTTATCGATGTTCGTTTGGGATTTCGAGTTTGAGAATAGCTCCGTATGGTGATTCTGGTGTTGGGAGCGCGATCGGAAGTGAATTCGGAGGTCCGTGGGTCATTTTGGAGTCATTTGGCTAAAGATAGAAATTTGAAGGTTTTTGAGAAGTTTGACCGGGAGTGGACTTTGTGATATCGGGGTCGGATTTCGATTCCAGAAGTTGGAGTAGGTCCGTAATGTCGAATATGACTTGTGTGCAAAATTTGAGGTCAATCGGACGTGATTTGATAGGTTTAAGCATCGAAAGTAGAAGTTTGATATTTTAAAGTTCATCAAGTTTGATTTGGGGTGTGATTCGTGATTCTAGCGTTGTTTGATGCGATTTGAAGCCTTGAGCAAGCCCGTATTATGTTTTTAGACTTGTGCGGGTGGTTGGTTTGGAGCCCCGGGGGGCTTGGGTGAGTTTCGGAGTAGCCTCGGAGCATTTTGTTGAGAAATAGGATTTTTGGTACTGGTATGATCGCAATTGCAACGTTTTGGTCGCAAATGCGGTCATCGCATTTGCGAGGTTCTTTTCGCATTTGCGAACCTGGGTGGCTGAGGGAATGGTTCGCATTTGCGACAAATGGGTCGCTTTTGCGAGGCCTGAAGGGTTTGCATTTGCGAAACCCGTATCGCATTTGCGAAATGGGCTAGTTCAGTCGGGGGTCGCATTTGCGATGCATTCTTCGCATTTGCGATGCTCGCATTTGCGATCTCCCTGTCGCAAATGCGACATCAGAGGGCTGTGTCCAGCTATTAATTTCGAGACTTAGACCATTTAGCTCATTTCCTTTCATCTCTTGGGCGATTTTGGAGCTTTCGGAAGAGGGATCTCACCTAGCACTTTGAGGTAAGTAATTTCTGCACAACATGAGTTAAATACATAGATTGTGGGTAGATTAACATGTGAAAATTAGGGAAAATCAAAGGTTTAGATGAAAACCTAGAGTTTGATGAAAACAAGATTTAACCACGAAATTTGTTATGGAATGGAGTAAAATCATATATTCTTGTTCCTTAGGTTATGGGTAACAACTTTCTTCAAAAATTTCCGGAATCCTGGCACGTGGGCCCGGGGATGAATTTTGGGAACCTTGCATTTAGGGTTGGGAAATTGGTTTAATAATTAGAATATGAACTTTTGAGCATGTATTGACCGGTACTTACCCCATTGGAATAGTTTTGGATCGTTCGGCTCCAATTTGGAGGTTTGAGCGCGTTCTTGAATTGGGTATAGGCTTCGGAGCGAGGTGAGTCTCCTTTCTAACCTTGTAAGAGGGAATTATCCCCATAGGTGAATTAATTGAATATGTGCTGCTATTTGTGGGGGCTACATACGCACGAGGTGACGAGAGTCCGTATGTACTATTATGCTTAAGTCCGGGTAGTCTAGGACCTAAAAGCATGCTTTACTTGCAATATTTGAAATCTCGTTGTTAATTTAAAAGTGCTTAAAACATATCGAATGTGTAAATGAATATCTAAAAGACTAGTCATCGTTTCCTTGATTTTTAAAAGCGAAATTTGCCTTTTACTTGGATAATTGCTCCTTGATGAACTCTTGATTGACTGTTTGACTGTATTTATATATTGTGGAGCGGGCCGAACGCCTAGGTAGATTAAATAGATGCATCTATGGTTCGCGTCATTCGACCCTCTAGCAGTGCACAGTTTAAATATTATTGGATAGGGCCGTATGACCTCGGCATGATTTGCGCATGCTTGTATTGCTTGTCTTGAAATTTATGGAAGTGATATTGTTTTTTCCCGGCTTGAGAATAAATGCATAAATGAAAAAGGAATTTGGAAATTTCCTATAAAAGAAAGAATTGTTTACTTGCTTCATTCTATTGAATTACAATCATGTTTATAAAAATCCTCGATTTATTATATTATTGACATATCATTATTGGACCATTAGTAAGTATCGAAGTCGACCTCTCGTCTCTACTTCTTCGAGATTAGACGGGATACTTACTGAGTACACGTTGTTTTCGTACTCATGCTACACTTGCTGTGCATTTTTGTTGCATAGGCACATGTATTTCTAGTGGCTTATTGGGCGTAGCAGCATGGATGATACGGAGACTAGGTGAGCTGCATTTCTCGAGGCGACCCGCAGCCAGTATAGTCTCTTTCAGCGTATTGTAATTTACTTCTATCCAATTTGTATTCCGGACAGTTATTGCACTGTATTCGATTCTCTTAGTGATTTCTCATGCACTTGTAACATCGGGTTCTAGGATATCTATGGGATTATTTAGTATTTTGAAATTGTTAAAGGTATTATTATTTATTCAGTGGAACTTATTCTTTATTGTTTAAATATATATGAAAGAAGTAAATTCAGAAATATCTAAAACAAGGAGTTACTAGTGATTTTGTGTTGGCTTGCCCGGCAATGGTGTCTGGCGCCATCACGACCCTTAGTGGATATTGGGTCGTGACAACATGGTATCAGAGCGCTAGGTTCCCTTAGGTCTCACGAGTCATGAGCAAGTCTAGTAGAGTCTTGCGGATCGGTACAGAGACGTTTGTACTTATCTTCGGGAGGCTACGGGGCTGTTAGGAGCACCTCCCTTCTTGGTTTCCTCATCGTGCAATTTGATTCCTTTGAGGCTTATGCCTTTGTTTCCTTCCCAATCGGTCCTATGCGATGCGAAGCGCTTATTATAAATCAGGAATTAAGAAATTTTAAAGGTACTACAAAGGTGGTGCGGGATGCTTCTCCCTGCGTAGTTGATTTGACTATTAGTGTCGCAGTGTGGAAGGATATTCTGTTA